AAAGCTATTTCATATCTCTATTGGAGGAAGTTTTGTAATAACCATTAAAGCAAAGACTGTTGGGCTGTAGGCATGATTACTTACAGGTTCACCTGTCCTTATAATGTACCCATTTTCAGTCTGATTCATGTAAGCTTAGTCAAAGTGCAGATGTCAGCTTCAGCAATATCCTCATCAGGAGCCAGTTACTATTACTGGCCTTGATTTCCATCCAGGTCTAACGAGTAACACACTAATGTTGTCCTTTAAATGTGATCAACCATAATCCCTACCCTCACACAAATACTTAGTACCTTTGGGTTCTATCCTCCTCTTTCTGCCTGAGCAGCAAGCATCAGACCTCCATAGTTCATCAGAAAAACAAACACCACCAAACACACACAACTTTTCAACAGAAATCAAACTTCATGGCTTCATCTAAACCCAGGGCCTTAATTTTCATGATTATAGGGTATGCAAAGTAATGTGAGTCACACAGATATCCGCTTGGATATGACCATAAGACTTTGTTCTGTGAACCCTGAATGTGCACATTTAACCTTCTGAAATCAATTTATACAGTCATTACTAGCTGTCGTTTCATGCTTGCGGATCTGAGGCTTGGCTCTTATTGAAGAGTTGATTGATTAATTTCAACATTGCGGAAGCCTCATTTAGCTAGGGGGACATTTCTGTAGTTTAATTTTCTAACTGAAAAACAACCACAAGAATACATTTAAATTATCTAATTTTGAAGCTTTTCATGAGAATTTGCATTTGGACATGTGTTACTTGTTTTCTGAATACACTTTCAGTCATTGCATCACTGAAATTAGACATGTGTATGCATTTACCCCATTACCTACCAGGGAGTTTGAAGGGGCCCTTCCTATAGCCCAGCTGCATTTTAAAACTTGTAAAAAGAGTGAGAACTATATATCCCAAAACAAGGCCCATCATATGCCAGGTAGAGGGGAAGGTGCTGGATCTGTATGAAAGGAGAGATAAATGCTGAACCAGGAGAAACTGTTTTAGAACTATCTCATTACTAAAGCAGAAAGCACAGTTAATCATTTTGTTTCTGTTACCATGGGAAGCTCTTCCATTAAAGTAATTTCTCACTAAAAGAAAATACTGCATTAATATTTAATTTGAAATTAAGTGAAATTATGATAATTTGAAAAAAAAAAAACAATTGAAAATTAATTTATTTCTCCATTTTCCCTTCTTACTTAATTCAATGTGATAAAGAATCTGTGTGAATGAGAGGGAGCAGCTCTTTAAAGCCACACTTCACAACTGAGAGAAAGTAATTGTTAATATACAATGTTTGGGGAAACTTGAAATCTTCAAAAACGACATGAAAACATGGAACACTTTCATTCATAAACCATAAATCATAGTCTTTGAGGTATAAACAAAGCACACTAAAATAGAATTGGTAAGTTTTATCCAAGCTTAGGACCAAAGGAAGTTGCAAACGGAAGATTCTTCAGTGTATGCATGCAAGAACTTGTGTCAACAGATGAATTACAAAAAGATTATTACTTTCCCTGCTCAAGAAGTGACTCCTTTCTTTCACAGGAATATTGTACTGGCTCAGTCATGCTGCAGATCATTAAAAAAACCCATAACAACACAACAAAAAACCTGGTACGAAACACTTCAAAATTGGTATCAATTAATACATAACTCTCAGAGATGTAAAACATTCAAGAAATTGGGGTATGTGCTGAAGCAGAACTAAAATTTATGCATCATCAGCTGAAAAAAGCTAGTATTAAATTACCTTTAGTATTCTAATATAAATACTGCCCTTATATCCATTCATTTTAAATCACAATCTCTCCTGAATGTGCTTTGTTTTCCTATAAATATGAGATCCAGATTAATATAAATGTATCACAATGAATTATGGGAACAAATTAAAGGTAAAAAGAAATTGTATGTGTTCAGATGATTTGTGCCTGCTATCCAAAAAGGCCATGTCAGATATTAAGGATAGGCTAATCAAGTGTTGTGAGCTAATTAGGCAACAAAACAAGCGACACTAAGAACAAGTATACTTAATATGGCCTTACAGTATTTGATATTGATGGCTTTAATATTCCCATCTTCTGCTCTCCAGAACTGGTTTGCTTTTTCCATTCTGCTGGTTCTCTTTACTTCTAATGCCCTTCCATATGGCCCAATGATTCTGCACATTTAAACAGCCTCCACTGATAGCTGACTTATTCATACCTTTCAGGAGGCACAGAGAAGCTGAAGAGCATCACAGATGCCCATTGGAAACATCCCTTACAGAAAGGTAATTTCATGCCCAAGGAAGACACATTTATTTGTCCACCTCTACCCCTGAGGTTAAAGACAAGTTACTGAGAAATCTTAGGGGAAAAAAAAAGCCCAGTTGCTTAAAGGAGAGTTAAGTGGCAGTCAAAAGAGACTCTTTGGTTTCACTAAACCTAGTAACCATGGACAATCATTTCTTTCCAGACTCCTAAAAAAACTTCAGACAAAGCTGTCTTAAAAATCCTTATCTTAAGGAAATTCTGGCAGGGAGGCTGCATTGTGGGTGTGAGGAGTGTTTTACAGCAATTATCTCCTATTAGTGGTGTTTAAGTAAGAAATCAACATTCAGCTCTTCCCATATATAGACAGTAACGTCCCAGAGGCAGCTAACTCATAAGATCAAAGAAGTATCTGTATATGAAATAGTGAAGCACAGTCCATCCCTTCTTTGGCTAATTAAGCACAAACCAGTATTAACAGCTTTGAGAAAATCCAAGAGAAATTTAAGCATCTGCTATTTTCCACTCATCTCTTAGACTGGGCTTTCTTGGCATATGAGCTGTCTTTTGGCTGATTTCCACAACAAGAAGAGAGCTTGTACGATAGGAAAAGTCAAGAAGAGTCCTCACTTTCCCACCATCCATCCCCACTCCTCTCCAAAAAAAAGTGATAAGACCAATGCAATCTCTTTGGGCATGGAAGAACACATCACTAAATTATATTTAAAAAAAAAAAAAATATATATATATATATATAGTCATATATACAGCTGAAATATTTTTGACCTATTTTCCCCAGACATGAAACGACTTGGCAATTCTTGATGACCTTTTTAGTGACTTCCTTTCTTGCCACCCTATCTGCTACAGATTACTGCTTTCCTGGCTGCTGCTAGCTGAATTTGTGAAGAAGCAAGATTGCCAACAAATCAGCCAAATAAGAAAAAGCTTGTAACTCTCCTCCTCCTCAAATACTTTCATGTATCTACATTCTGTAAAAACTCTGTGTTCCCACATTTACCAGGAGCTACAAACATTACTGAAGAAGGAAAACTGCACATAACTAATCTTCAACATGATACCGCATGAAAAGCAGTCTTCTCTACAGAGTTTGACCTCTTTTATCAGGAGTTTACAGCAGTTGATGCCCAAAATAATTAAAACACATTCTCTCTAAACAGTTCCAGTCTGGTTGAAGCAAGGCTACAGTGAAATGTAGTTTGGGATCTCGTATATAACACTAGAAAAGAAATCATAGCAGTATAAATTACATTTTGATCCCTAACATAGACAGTTTAATAGGCCAGATTCAGCAAAGCATTTAAGCAAATGTTTAAATCCCATTGATTTAAGTGGGATTTAAGCACATATTAAATACTTAGTTGAATTGCGGCCATACTGTGAAGGGACTCTTAGAACAAGGAAAGCACAGTAGGCTTCGAGGATCTTTATTTACAGCTCAGATGTTAACTTAGCAAATTTGGCTTAGGAACTTGTATAATGCAAAAGGAGCCAAGGACAGACTGCAAGAACATTTGGCTGCCCTGGGTCACTCCAGGATAATGCAACATATCAATACGGGGTAGATTTAATTTCTAAAATACTTTTATCTTATAATTTACCATGTTTCAGTTACAATTAAGGTGCACCGCCTTAATGTGTCATTCAGCGCTTTATTGTACATACAGACTTCAGATGCTGCCAAATTTCTAGTGCTCTCAGTTATTCATCTCTGCTTCTTCCCTCCCACTTTTAACCCCAACCTTCTGGTTACAGGGTGAGGAGGAGGCAGATGACATTTGCTGTTTGTCAGTCAGCTCTCACTGTGCAAACTTAGAAGGAAAAAAAAAGTTAACAGCACCAATCCGTCATCCTGGAATATGAAGATGTGAGGGATCAAACCAGACATTACATCTCAGAGAAGTCATGCTAAAATTGTGTAATTTCTCTTGTAGGTATCAAAACTATGTTTAGTCTACATGTAATTTCCGAAATACTGTACATGTCACAAAGAATTATACTGCCTATAGGATGACTTATTATTTCTTTATCTTCTCTTCTTTACTCTAGACATTATATAAGTTTGCGAGCTCTACTGACACTACTGCAGATGGTTGAACTATTTCTATTTATCTTGCAGAGTAGGAGTTAGCTTTTTGGGACATTAATATTCCTTGTTGTCAGTTCTTCTTTTTGGGAAGAAGCCTATTTCTGGGGAAGTCTGGGAAACTTGGTTCCCTCACTCTAAGAATAGCACAACAGGAAACAGAGCGTTATATCATGTCCAGGCACTAACATTTGTAGTGAAATTAGGACTCGGGGTTTTATGAAATCACCTAATAGTATTTGAAAATGGATTAGTTTTGAAATCATTTTTTATTTAGCAGAATGCTCTGAGGCTTAAGAGAAATTTTTCTTGGTGCTGTCATCACGGCAGGATCCAGTTAAAACATGATCAAACATTAGTGAGCTTAAAAAAAACAGCTTGGTTATATTACACAGGCTTATTTCTAAAACATTTTGTTCTATAGATAACATTGTCAAAGCTGATAATAGCCACAATTCCCATAAATAACTAACGAGGATTATTTAATGTTAAATAAAAGATGAGCAATGTTTTTCGGGCATTTAACTGAGGTGGGGGAAGGGATCCTAAAGTAATCCCAGATTTACAGATAAAATCTGCAGATTTGTGCTGAACAAATTTGTGATATGATAGAAGCTACGGCTCACCTTTCCTGCTTCCTTCCAGATGGAACATTTTCAGAAGACCTTATTTCATTCCAGGGAAGGTGCACGAATCCACTTACAGTAGAGACACTGCAAAGACAGCACAGAGAATTATTCAATCAGCTCACCAAAAAATCTCTCTAAAACATCACAAGACAAACTTAACTGTATGATGAACTGACTTCTCTGTCATTGCATAAGTTCGTACTTCTTGTAATTAAACTCTGATGAGGAAGTTGCAGTAACTAGTTCAAATATTGACCTTTGTGAGCGCGAGCATGGATGAGTACACGCAGTACTGGGTGTACAAAGGACTGGCCCTGCTTCTTCTCACCTGAGTGTGTGCAAAATGCTCTCATTTCACAGCTGACTTGCTCTGGATTTCTTAGCTCTGTGCTAATCCCAGCTTGAAATTTAGGACACAACAGTTTCTGAACTGAGGCCAAGAGTGTTTCTAGTGATTAGCAGAGAAATTAGGAAAATACTCAGCCTATTAGAATGAGTATACTTAAAAATATGATGAGATGAAATCATTTGCTTAACTCTGACTAAAACAGTAAAATGGCACAAAGCTTTGTACTCTGAAGCACATTACCTGGCAGCTCATACAGTCTATCAGAGAATGAAGAGTAAATCAGTTTCAGCAACAGCACTCATAATTTTATGACTACTAAAAAAAAAAAAAAAAAAAAAAAAGGCCACTGTAGACACTTACTCCAAAGCAAGTTTTTGCATTACTAAACAGACATTTACAATGGAAAAAGGTTTAATTTGTCTTTATTCTCAACTGTGACAAAACACATCAGTCTCATTTACCTTCACAGCTGAACCAAGTCTGTTCCTCTGAACATAGAAAGGCTACAAAAGACTGCCGTAGGAAAAAGAATAAAGTGAACAAGTTTATAAGAGTGTCTTTTTTTGTATCTTAAAATGCAGTAGAAGTTTCCAATACTTTGTGTTATCACTTACCAAAGAGTCTAAACTCCCAAAAATCAGTCACATAGCTTATGTGGCACAGCAGTACAATATGTTCAGGTTGGACAGGGAAAAATTAAAGATTTTTGAATAAACTTTCTGCACGTTACTACATTAAGCCGGTGTCAACTTCATTCAGAATTTAAGCTTAATATATTCCGTCCCAGAATAAAAATTAAAGAGGTGCTGCTCTCATTCAGAAAATACAAATCCATATCTCATTCATGTATTTACTAAGTAGGAAATTCAGGAGTCACAGTAGGCCTAAGAATCTCATGTCTTTGGAGTTAAAGTGCTTTAAAAGTTCCCATTTTTAATTCATATGAGAATGATAAAGATGAGACTAAGAGGGAAATAATATGATGTTATTTGACTAGCTAAACCATCAAACTGACACCAGTCAGCATCTCCTCAAAATATGTGAACAACAAAACTCACTAAAACTGAGTTTATTAAAAAAAGGACGAAACTTGGGATAGATTCTACAGTGAATTGTGACTCTGCTTTACTCTCATTGCTTTATGTGCATAAGAGCAGTAGTGCACACTGACCTTTATGCAATTGGTTAAAGTCACATCAATAGGACAATACCCAAGGGGAATAATGGGGGTGGGGAGGAAAGGGGAGAGTGAGCCTGGATTTTCCAAAGGGTGAAAAACTGCTGAAACTCGTGGGCCAGTGTTGGCATCCATTAAAGGAAAGGGAAAGCAAAACACAGTAACCTCACTCCAGCTTATTTGTTGCTGCTTAGCTATGTATTATTATTATTACTATTTTATTAACATGAATATGCTTTATAGTTTAGGATGACTGTCAGTGCCTCTGCTCAAAAGAGGAAGAAGTCTAGGACTGCAGAGCTATAAAATCCAAGGTCTGCAACCATGCTCCGTCCTCTGCCTCGTTAATGAGTGCCACAAATATATGGCTAAAATGGCATTTGTAGGTTATGGTTTTTTTCAGACTGCAGGACTCCCAAAATACATGAGCCAATGCTACACAGGCCCGCTTGAGCATTGATAGCCAGCCAGCAGTTGTAATGGAATGATCGGGAGATTAATTTCACCTGCTGCCTGGGCAAAACATCCTGCTTTAGAGTCAAATAGCACGTTTCACCCTCAGACTGGTAAGAGTAGGCTGTTTGTGGTACCAGAATGATGACTGCACAAGGCACGAGCAATCACCTTAGGCTAACCACTCTCAGTGGTGTAGCATGAACAAACAGATCAGCATTTTCCAAACAAGGATGCATGTTGCCACCAACACAACACTTTTATACAATAATACATCAAGAGGTACTCAACCAGTGATGAGACTTTGAAGGAATGTGATGAAAACACAGCCTGGAGAATTTATTGAGTCGTCATCACAGAGAGGAGGGAATTTACTGAAGGGATCACCCAAATGAGGCTGGAAGGCTCTAAACAATGTAATTGGTCTTGTTAGCATCTAGGGGATAAACTATCTCTCAGATGGAAACTAAACTCAGAAGAGGGGAAAGTTATTTGATGAACTCACCACAATAAACCACAAAGAGTCATCTCAAAAGCAAAGCTGTTTGCAGGCCAGGAAAGAGACACAGATTTTGAATCCTCAGATATAAACATTCAAGATCTTCTAAGAAGCCTTTCTAGATCTCAGTAAGCACATCCAAAAATCAAAGATTTTCCAGCTATTACTTCAGTTTCTGTGAAGTGAGGTGTTTTTTTGTTTGTTTGTTTGTTTTTTAAATCATTTCTCACAGAATTCTTTGCCCTGTCTCAGGTAATTCACAGCATATGATCCTGTAAAGCTGCTGAAGGAGCAATGCCACAGACATATTTCCCCATAGCTTTCTTCTGTTTTTACAGGTCTTCCTTTTTGGTTTGAATGTACTTAGGTGGATTTAATTGGCAACTACTTATTGCACATCTTACAAATTCTGTAGTAGAGCTCTGGTTTTATTACGCAGACATTTCTCTTGTATCTCCAATGAAACTGTAGCTCTGCAGATAACAGAACATGGTCATGTTAATTCCCACTAATAGTTACTTAGGAATGCAAAGCATCTAAATCAAATAGCTATCCCTATTACCAAAACAACAGTACTCTCCATAATTAATTTTTTTTTCTTTTTTCCTTTATTTCTTCAGTAAAGGAGCAAAAGGTCAGGGCTTCCATTACACAAACAGGAATCAAGAAAGAGAGTAAGATCAAATATGTTGGTTTTTCCAACAACTTCTAGGCTCAAAGACGAGCAAGTCTGTGGAAAAGTCTATACACAGAATTTGTGGGCACCATTATGTCATTTCCTTCTGCTTTTTCATGAATTCCATGATCATTTAATGTAGCACTTGCAGGAAATCCATTAAGAAGAGCACTGAATGCAGCAACTACAGCAGTGCTGTGACTTCAAATGAAAACAGACACCGTCCAAAGATTATTCCCAAGAACAGTATTAAAAATATTCACCTCAACAAATTCCAAGAGCTTTGGGTGGGTGGGTCTAACAGGTACCTGTATACATTTCTGGAAAACCATTGCTGACAATCAGATTGCAGGAAGAAGAATCCCGTAAATTAGACCATGCTTCTGGAGAAGTACCAGAATTTATACATAACCATTATTGGAAGAACCATGCAATTCCTGCAATCAATACACAACAGTAAAGCAGCAGTGACTCTGAACCACCCATTTGGGAGGAACAAAACATGCATTTTTCCTTTGTGCCCATTATGCTGTAGAGTACTGATCTTGAGGTCTAAAAATTTCAAAGATGTACTTTCATTGGTCCTTAAAAAGTCACCTCTGTGTCTTACCTCAGTATATCCCCTACACCAGTCTGTGACATATAGAAGCTGGTTGCGCCAGCTTGGCATGCACTGCAGAAACTCCTGTATCTACTAGAAATGAAGGGTGGCCAATATTTGATGCACTGTAGCAAATAGGGAAGTGGTGGAGTCACCGTCCCTGGAGGTGTTCAAGAAACATGGCACTGAGGAAGGTCAGTGGGCAATATTGGTGGTGGGTGAACGGTGGACTTTGAGGTGTTTTTCAACCTTAATGATTCTGTGATTGGATTAGGGTTAGTAACAGTGATCTCACAATCCTGCTGCCCAAGACTGTGATTAATCACAAAGTATCAAGTTGTGAACACTGACTGAAAATAACCATCACCAAGTAAGACATAACTAGAAGGAAAACAATGGAGAATAACAAGAAAAAAAATCTTCAAACATCTATTAGCTTATAAAAGTAGAAAAATAACGCAGAAGTTTTTAGAGAATTGCCTACGTGGGAAGGCCTCAAAATTCTACTTTTTATACATCTTTCCCATGAGACTTTGAAAAACACTAATTTTCCTTAGCATATTCTGTGGATAATAGGAATCACAATATACAGACCTGACCCATGCTACTTATTTCCAGAGGAAGGTGCCAACTTTGTAGATGGCAATTATAGAACAAAATTTATGGTATCAAATCATATACGTAAGAGATGAAATAGTGCTTGTAAGATTTCTATGTCCCCTCGCAAATGTACTCTAAAATCTCATTATCTCCCCTTATAATCTCTGCCAGGGGTGGCTGCACAACACATTCACCCATTCACACCAGGCTCCTTTCCATGAACCTTAATTCTGCTGCTGTTTACACCAAGTTTCAGTTAGCATCAAGATGTCCCAGCATTCTGCCTTCAACTCTCGCTAGAGTTTATCATAATGGGTATAAATCTCAAATTAAAAGAAAAAAAAGAACCAACAAACTTTGTTTCTCTTATACAAGATGACTTCCATCTGATGGATGGAGAGGGCTCCAGTCAGCAGAACTGGCCATCTGTTTTCCCTTTGTTTCTGTATGTGCTACGCCCAACTTGGGTTTTCTGCTGAAAACAAGAGACTCAAGGTGGCAGTAGAGAGCTGAAAAAGACGCATTCCAGGAAAGTACTATAAATAACCCTTTTGTTGCTTGATGTGTTGATAAACCTCTTTCTGGAGTGGCCTCCGGTGTTAATCTGCCCTTCAGTCTCTCAGCAATTCCCATCTAAAATTATCAACAACTAGTTTTGTCAGTAGAGACTGTTTATTTGAAGTTTCAAGACTCCCAGTTTGCCGAATATTAACTGCTTTAAACATAAGC